TATATAAAGAATACAAAAAAAACTAATTCAAAAGGAAATGGACCCACCTGTGTTCATTGCAGCGCTATTTATAATAGCCAAACTATGCAAATTGTGTAAGTACCCAAATATGGATCAGGAAAATGTGGTGCTATAAACAATAGAATACTACCCAGCTATCAAAAAAAGATAAATTCTTGCCTTTTGTGGCAACGTGGATGGAACTGGAGGGGATTATGCCACATTAAATAAATCAGAAGGAGAAAGACAAATACCACATAGTTTTAACTTAATATGTGGAATCTAGAGAAACAGTGGGTCAGACAAAGCCTAATTACAAGCCCTAGAAATATGACAGCTGAATGGCGGCTACCAGAAGGGGAGAGGCTTGGGGCAGGGAGAGAACTAAGTGGGGAGGGAGGCGGACTGCAGGTTCTTCTGTGACGGTGTCCTGTAGTAACACCTGAGGGAGGAGATCCTGTACCTCTAAACACAATGTTGTAGACCAACATTACCACAATTTAAAAAAAAAAAAAAGAGGTTGAGGGGGTGGAGAAAATCCAGGAAAAAAGTGAAGAAAAAAATTGCCCAATTACTTTCAAAAGTAGCCCTACCATTTTGCATCACCATTAGAGTGTCAGTTGCTGCACATTCTCATCAACAGCTGATGCTATCAGTCTTTTAAATTTTGGCCATTCTTTGACTCTATAGTGGTTTTAATTCACGTGATGACTAATGATGCTGGCATTCTTTTCCTGCTTTATGTCATGTGTACATCTTTCTTGGTGAAGTGTTCATTTAAATCATTTGCCCACAGCAATCATTAAAATGAATCTTTTCTTGGCTTGAAAAACTGCATTGTTTCCATACAGTTTTTCCAAACTCCATTTACTTGCAGAACTGTTTGCAGAATCTATACCTCTACACACCATGTTTTGGGAAAAAACCACAATTAAAGTGGTTTCACTTTAAATTCAAGTGGACTCTTAATACAGCCCAGCATCATACTTCATTCATTCGACTTTCTAGATGACTAATACTTCTCAGTTTTCCTCATTTCTCAATCACT